TGTCTAGTGGTGAGAGTGGAGTGTTGAAGTCTCCTACTATTAGTGTGTGAGATTTTATGTGCAATTTGAGCTTTAGTAATGTTTCTTTCACGAATGTAGGTGCCTTTGTATTTGGGGCATAGATGTTTAAAATTGAGACTTCATCTTGATGTACTTTTCCTTTGGTGAATATGAAGTGTCCTTCTTCATCTCTTTTGATTGATTTTAATTTGAAGTCTAGTTTGTTAGATATTAGGATTGCTACACCCGCTTGTTTCCTGGGACCATTTGATTGGAAGACCTTTCCCCAACCCTTTACTCTGAGATAACGTCTGTCTTTGATGTTGAAATGTGTTTCTTGTATGCAGCAGAAGGAAGGGTTCTGTCTTCGTATCCATTCTGCTAGTCTGTGTCTTTTTATAGGCAAGTTGATGCCGTTGATATTGAGGGATATTAATGACCATTGATTGATGATTCTTGTTTGTGCTTGATTTATTGTTAGTGAAGTTATTTTGTGTAGTTTCTCCTCCCTTTTTCTTTTGGTGTTTTGTAAAGTGGGATTATATATTGCCTGTGTCTTTGTGAGTGTAGTTATCTTCCTTGGATCTAGGTTTTCCTTCTAGCACTTTCTGTAGAGCTGGATTCATGGATACGTATTGTTTAACTCTGGCTTTGTCATGGAATATTTTGTTTTCTCCATCTATGGTAATTGAGAGCTTTGCTGGATATAGTAGTCTGGGCTGGCATCCTTGTTCCCTTAGCGTTTGTAGGACATCTATCCAGGATCTTCTGGCTTTCATTGTTTCCATTGAGAAGTCAGGTAATTATAATTCGGATAGGTCTGCCTTTGTATGTTACTTGGCCTTTTTCTTTAGCTGCTCTTAATATTTTCTCTTTACTCTGTAGGTTTGATGTTTTGATTATTATATGGCGAGGTGACTTCTTTTTCTGGTCCAGCCTATTTGGTGTTCTGTAAGATTCTTGTATTTTCTTTTTCTTTTCTTTTTTTTTTTTTTTTTGAGACAGGGTCTTGTATTTTCATAGGCATATCTTTCTTTAGGTTAGGGAAGTTTTCTTCTATTCTCTGCCTTTTGGTTAGGTTGGATAAAGGTTTGTCTATCTTGTTTATTTTCTCAAAGAACCAACTCTTTGTCACATTGATTCTTTGTATTGTTTTCTTTGTTTCTACTTTATTGATTTTAGCTTTCAATTTGATTATTTCCTGGCATCTACTCCACCTGGGTGAATTTGCTTCTTTTTGTTCTAGAGATTTCAGTTGTGCTGTTAATTTTCTAGTATGACTATCCTCCAGTTTCTTCATATGGGCACTTAGTGCTATGAACTTTCCTCTTAGAATTGCTTTCAGAATGTCCCATAGATTTGGGGATGTTGTGACTTCATTTTCAGTGAATTCTAGGAAGTTTTGCTTCCTTCCTTCCTTCCTTCTTTCTTTCTTTCTTTCTTTCTTTCTTTCTTTCTTTCTTTCTTTCTTTCTTTCTTTCTTTCTTTCCCTAGGAGTGATGCAATTGAACATTGTTCAGCTTCCATGAGTTTGTGGGGTTACTCCAAATTATGTTGTTGTTGAATTCTAATTTTTAAGCCATGGTGGTTTGATAAGATACAGGAGGTTACTTCAATTTTTTTTTGTATCTATTGAGGTTTGCTTTATTGCCAAGTATGTGGTCGATTTTAGAGAAGGTTCCATGTGGCACTGAGAAGAAGGTATATTTTTTTTGTGTGTTTGGATGGAATGTTCTAAAGATGTCTGTTAAACCTAATTGGGTCATAACTTCTGTTAGTTCATTTGTTTCTTTGTTCAGTTTCTGTCTGGTAGTCCTGTCCAGTGCTGAGAGTGGGGTGTTAATGTCTCGCACTACAAGTGTGTGGGGTTTAATGTGTGATTTGAGTTTTAGTAACGTTTCCTTTATGAATATGGGTGCCTTTTTATTTGGGGCATAGATGTTCAGAATTGAGACTTCATCCTAATGGATTTTTTTCCTGTGATGAATATGAAATGACCTTCTTCATCTCTTTTAATTAATTTTAGTTTGAAGTCTAATTTGTTAGATATTTTGATAGCCACACCATCTTGCTTCTTAGGACTATTTGATTGGAGAATTCTTCCCAACACTTAACTCTGGGGTAATGCCTGTCTTTGAAGGTGAGGTGTGTTTCTTGTATGCAGCAGGATGTATTTTGTCTTCGTATCCATTCTGTTAGCCTGTGTCTTTTTATAGGTGAATTAAGACCATTGATATTGAGGGATACTATTGACCATCGATTATTGATTTTTTTGTTTGTTTTGGATTTGCTTTTGGTGGTGATATTGTGTGTGAGTTTTCCCCCTATTTTTGGCTTTTGGTAAAGTGAGATTATGTATTGCCTATGTTTTTCTGAGTGTAGTTAATTTTCTTGGGTTGGAGTTTTCCTTCCAGAACTTTCTGTAGGGCAGGATTTGTGGGTATGTATTGTGTAAATCTGGTTTTGTCTGGAATATCTCAATCCATATATAGTGATTGAGAGTTTTGCTGGATATAGTAGTCTGGGCTGGAATCTGTGATCTCTTAGAGTTGGTAGAATGTATATCCAGGACCTTCCGACTTTCAGAGTTTCCATGAAGAAGTCAGGTGTAATTCTGATAGGTTTGTCTTTATATGTTACTTGACCTTTTTCCTTAGCTGCTCCTATTATTCTTTCTTTATTCTCTCTCTCTCTCTTTCTCTCTCTCTCTCTCTCTCTCTCTCTCTCTCTCTCTCTCTGTGTGTGTGTGTGGTGTTCTGATTATTATGTGGTGATGGAACTTTTGTTTTTGGCCCACTCTATTTGGTGATCTGTAAACTTGTTGTATTTTCATAGGCATGTCCTTCTTCAGGTTGAGAAAGTTTTCTTCTATGATTTTGTTGAATATGTTTTCTGCACCATTGAGCTGGGTTTCTTTGCCTTCTTCTATACCTATTATTCTTAGGTTTGGTCTTTTCATGGTGTCCCATATTTCCTGGATATTTTGTGTTAAGGATTTGTTGAATTTAAGATTTTCTTTGGTTGATGAATCTATTTCCTCTAGTTTATCTTCAGTGCCTGAGATTCTGTCTTCTATCTCTTGTATTCTGTTTGTTATGCTTGCATCTGTAGTTCCTGATCATTTACTAAGCTTTTCTATTTCCAGTATTCCCTCAGTTTGTGTTTTCTTTATTGTCTCTATTTCAGTTTTCAGGTCTCTGAACTGTTTGAATTGTTTCCTTTATCTGTTTGATTGTTTTTTTTTCTTGGCTTTCCTTGCTTTCTTTAAGAGATCTGTTGATTTCTTGAATTTTTTGGTTTGTTTTTTCTTCTATTTCCTTAAGGGATTTTCTCATATCTTCTTTGATGGCCTCTATCATTTTCATGAGGTTGTTTTGAAGGCCATCCTCTTCTGTTTCATCTGTTTTGGGATGTTTAGGTCTTGCTGTAGAGTTCCTAGACTCTGATGGTGTTATATTGGTTTTTCTGTTGTTGAATGTGTTTTTATATTGTCGTTTTCCCATCCCTTCTTCCAGTGGGAGCACATAGGGTCTCTTCCTCTCCTGGTGAGTATGGGTCTAAGGTTTTCTTCTGGTGTGTTCAAGCAGGTCCAATACTCTGATGGGTCTCACAATGGGTGCAGGTGGGTCTGAAGCATTCTATGCTGGGGTAGGCCCACAAATATCCAAGGAGGGGGATGTAGGGAGTTGGGGCCCCAAGCAGAGCCCATACTCACTTCAAGCAGAGGGCAGAGGGTCAGGCAACATGTTTTAAAAAGGTGGAATTTATGAGGAAAATAAAGTGGCATTGTTAATAAGCTGGGGACACCAAGGTCCAGAGAGTGACCTTGACTTGTTAGTATCCACATAAGGATGCTCAGTCAGTATCTGTGTGTCCTGCTGGTTATCACAGATGCTCACCATTGTGCTTCATGGATATGGAACTCAGGATGAGTGTCAAGAGCACTCAAGTCTCCTATGCATGATCACCCCAGGACTCATGGTGAGGGACCGGGTACCATCAGCCATGAACGCTACAGGACTCATGATGGAGGGGGTACCATCAACCATGAGCACCCCAGGACTCATGGGTGAGGGACAGGGCACCATAGGCCATGAGCACCCCAGGACTCATGGTGAGGGTACCATCGGCCATGATTTGCAGACCAGAAAGTTCTTTCCTGATGCTGTTTGTCAATTAGAGAAATGTGGTTTCAGAAAATAATAATACTTATTAATTTAGAAAAAACTCTGTAACCTGCTTATATGTTTGTGCTTTGTGCTTGTGAGCAGACAAAAGATTTTTCAGTTGTTACATCAAAGTGGCTGAGTTCTCAGGAGACAGGGGACCACGGGGGAGAAGGGATCTATCAGTCCCGCCTTTCACAAACACACAGGACACGGAAGGAAACTGTGGTGTTCAGTTATGGTCACCAGGTGGCGCTACACACACGCTATCAAGTCAATCATTGTAGGCCTTGGGGTTTTTTAGTTACCAAAGCAAGGGCTGGGAACTGGGGGGTGGGGTGGGATGACGGACGACGACTCCACAGGTCCTGAGCTTCAGTGCAGAAAAGCAGAGCTGAAAGGAGGTAGGAAAACCCCAAAAGAGCTTGCGCGGTGCAGTTGTGCTGCGGGTAATCCTTTAGCGAGTGGAGACTCAGGGGTCCAGCACAAGGAAGCTCTGACATTCCAGACCCAAACTCCTCCAGGGTTGGCCTGTCACTTGTGTGAATCCTGTTTCCACCTGACTACTCTGTCTAGGGAGAAAATCAATTTCTCTCTCTCTCTCTCTCTCTCTCTCTCTCTCTCTCTCTCTCTCTCTCTCTCCCTCTCTCTCTCTCTGTGTGTCTGTCTGTCTGTCTCTCTCTGTCTCTCTGTCTCTGTCTCTCTCTCCCTCTCTCTCTGTATCTCTGTCTCTCTGTTTCTCGCTGTGTATGTGTCTCTGTCTGTCTCTCTGTCTCTGTCTCTCTGTGTCTCTGTATCTCTCTCTCTCTGTGTGTCTCTGTCTGTCTGTCTGTCTGTCTGTCTGTCTGTCTGTCTGTCTGTCTCTCTCTCTCTCTCTCTGTCTCTCTCTCTCCCAGAGACAGTCTGGAGCTTTTGAAGGAGGGGTTAGTCAAGGCCATGGCCCAGTAGTGCCTTTGGGGAAGACCCTGGGACACCTAGTCTCATCCATCCCTCCAAAGGAAACGTGTGTAGGCGAAGCCATGCGGCTCCACATCCTGAGTCTTCGGGTCTATTTGGCAAATTTGCTCTGAAGAGGCGAGAACCCAAACCCCATGCTTCCATCCACAGAGCCATTTCTTGGTACCACAAGAAACAACTGAGTATTGGCTGTCTGCCACTCTGATTGTGGGCCAGGGTCCACTGCACTCCGGTGACCACCGGCGGGCGGCACGATGCAGGCGGCTGCTGTGGTTGCCAGTCCCGAGTATGCATTAGTGGCTGGGCCGGACTCCCGAAGTTTCTGATGCAGATGCTACCGGCCTGGAGACCACACTTTGATGATCCGTTTACTCAGGGCAGAGTGCTGGTGGGGCGGATCTGCAGCAGAAGAAAGCTGACGGTAGCGGTTTGGCGGGGTTTTCTTCCTTGGGGGTTGTTCATTCCAGGGCTGCAGGTCCCTTCGAAGTGCTTGTCTTCTGCGGATGCTGTAAACCGTTCTTTCTATATCAGCGCGTGCGGCCCTAGCAGTGCAGTGGAATGGACACATGCTGACTCTGGCGCCTGATTTAATGCCTTTTCCGTATTGGAAGCCTTAAAGGCTCCCTTGCTGTGCGCACCTGAAATCCCAGCGCTCGAGCCTTGGAGGCAGCAGGATGGTGAACATGAACCGAGCCTGGCCTGGCCACTGAGACGCTGTCACAAGCAAACGAGGCAGTTAGCGAGGTGATTCTGGGCTGAACAATCAATTCTAGCTCCCGCTGTCCCCCCACCCTTCCATTTACTGACTCTTTATTTAGGGACAAGCTCTTACACAGCCCAGGTCTGGAAATGGTTATTTAGCTGAGGGTGACTTTACACTTTTGATCCTCCTGCCCCCACCTCTTGAGTGGTGGGCTCGCCGGTGCGCACCACCAGTTTATGGGGTGCTGGGGACCAAGCTCAAGGCTCTGTGGATGCCTGTCAAACACTCTACCAACTCCAGCCCCAGCCCCCTTTCTCACATGGTGATTGTATCTGTAATCTATCTGCGAACCCCTATTTATCCTTGGAGATCTAGTTCAAATAACCACGAGAAGCTGGTCTCCCTCCCACTCCTGACAATTAATTGCTGCGTTGTCCTGTCTCTGGAAGCATGTTGGACGTGCTGAGCTGTCACCTCTACCTCACTGGGCCGTGGTTATTGATGTTCCTGCCTTCCCTTCACATAGGGTGGCCCCGCTTTCATGACTCTGTGACAGGCTACGTCCTGGAGAAGGGGGTGCGGTGAAGCATGCGTGAGACTCTGAGTAAGGAAGTTTATTCAGCGCAGTAATGAGCAGCAGAACAAACGTCCACTCAGTGGAGCAGACTCCAGGGGGTACTTTTTTCTTCCCACCTACTGCTATCAGGGTTATGCACGCACTGCAGCTTGTCTTTCAAGAACCTGTCCCCATCTCCCCCTCCAGACACACAATCCGCAGCTGTACTCATGCGTGGGCTGTCATTACTTGCACACACACAGCCATAACTTTCCTTACTATTCCCACACAATGCCCTCCTCACCCTCGCTTGACCGGCTAACAGCCATGACCGAGAGAAAGCTGAGCGCTTTCTCTTTGTGTTCTTGTAGCATTTTGCATGCACATGTGTGGTTTGACTGTGCCTCTAAAAGTTTGGGTGTTGAAAACACACAGGTTTGTGTGGCTGGTGTTTTGAGGTGGGCTTCAGTGATAACTGGGAATAGTTGGGGCTATAGAGGTGGGAAGCCCCTCTGTGGGGTCAGTGACTTCATAAGACGAGAGACAGAGATGCCAGCTAGCGGGTGGCCTCCACTTCATCACATGACAGTCTTCATGGTGTCAATGCAGCATGAAGGCTCTTACTAGATGGTGTCACTGACTTCCCAGTCTGCACCACACACCAGATAAACTTCCATTTGTTATAAACTACCTGGCCTCGAGGACTGTGTTAAAGAAACAGAACACAGGTTGAGACAATATCTTTACCAGAAGGTGGAAATCATTCAACCTTGTTTATATAACCCTTGCACACACAGTAGATGCTTGGGAAGTGTTGAGCGGAGACAAGCATTTGCACACCCGATCTCTACCATTCACACAGAGGACACATTCCTGTGGTTCACGTCTCTGATGCCATAGCTGTGTCTCTCACGACACATGGTGATTCTTCACCTGTATCCAGGGTTAGTTATGGCTTTGGAATGGAGGGGCACATTTTCCTGGGGGAAATCAGAACCTAAGTGGAGGGAGACAGCAGAGTTAGATTCCCACCTGCCACCTGGATTCTACTGTGATGGTCTCAGGTAGAGAGACTGGAGTCTACGTCGTGTGGTGAGAGCTTTTAAAATTATTTCCAGATGGCTCACAGTAATCTTGTCATTTAGTTATTGTGTCCTTAGGTTATGGGTAACCATAACAGGATCAGTGATTTGCTTAAAATTATATGAATTCAAGGAGCAAAGCTACATTACTTTCTCATTGTTTTCTATGGCTCTTTCCCCAGCTTGGGCTTAGCAATGCTTTTACATTTCATTTCACTTTGTATGTATTTAAGTCTTGCTTGCATGACATATGTCTGTGTACCATGTACATTCCTGGCACCCACAGACGTCAGAAGAGGGTGTTGGATTTGTTGGAACTGGAGTTACTACAAACGCTGGTGGAGATAATACACCCAGATAGATAATACATCTATCTCCATCCCTGGGTCCCCACAGATATCACAGGAAAGTCATGCTTTAATTGTCTTTTACCTGCTGAAAACCTCTGCAAATCCTAATTTTACAGTTGCTTAATCCCCATGTCCTGGGTGTAAGCCTGCATTTTAGTACTGCCTAATATCATGTTAGATTTACCAGATATTCAGTTATTTATACTATAATTTCCATGTGGTTCATCCTGATATTTGGTTACTTATACTATAATTTCCGCATGCTGCTTTTTCTGAATAGATTGCCCATCTACTAATTGCTCATGTCTGTGCTTTTTCCTTTAACTTCCTTGTATTACCTTAAAGCCTTTCTCTGCTAATTTGATCAGTGTCCTCTCATTATTCATTTATTTGAGACAGGCTGGCCCTGAACCACTCTATAGTTGAGAATGACCTTGAACTGATACACTACTACATCTGACCTCATCCAAGACTCTTTCTGTTTACTGTTTTGTTTCTTAGTTGTTAGGTGTCCGGTAATTTCTTTATTATGTACTAAACCTCATGGATTTTAAGGCCTTCTTTTAAAGTGCATTGCATTTTTCTTGGTAAGCAGTTAGTCTATTGGTGGGTTAGCTGGGTGAGAGAGTCTTGGACTTTGGCTCTGTTTTGGGCTCAGCACAGCCGCTCTCTAAGGATGGACAAACTAAAGGTGAGGCCCCACAGATCTCTGCTGAGTACTTGAGGGTCGTAGAGTTCTCTCCTGACTCCGTGACCCCCTGTTGAGCACACAGCTCCTAGCGTCTGTTCTCTCCTGACCCAGTGAAGTTTTATCTGCACATGTGCAGCTTTGTTCCCAGATGGAGACAGGGTGTTGCCCCAGGCAGATGCCTGCTCTACGCAGCTCCGTCCTTCCCTGAACTCACCCTACAGCATCAATCCTCGGAGCAGCCCTGACATTCAGTCTCCTTTCTCCCATCCCCGCCGTGGGCTTTGCCTCCCCGTGCTGTGGTTAGAGAGCAGAGGAAGGCTTCTTGTAGGGAGGGCTTTCTTTTTTGAAAGGTTTCAACTCCGTCCATCCGTAGTGGACCACCTAAAACAGCTATGCCATATATGTGGCTTGTTTGACTGTTGATGTCAGAAGAGTGAGTCTGGTGTCCCTTACTCTGTGACAATCAGATGGTACCTTGTCATAGACAGACATTTGTCTATTTTGTAGTTGACGTAAATGAGCTAAGAGTATGCAAACACCACAAGACACATCATAACCTGCTGGGAGGATGCTCAGAGTACCTTCTCTGTTTCAGTCCTGTCCAAAGAAAACATTCATCAACTCTCTCTCTCCCTCCCTCCCTCTCTGCCTCCCTCCCTCCCTCTCTCAATCTCTCTCTCTCTCTCTCTCTCTCTCTCTCTCTCTCTCTCTCTCTCTCTCTGTGTGTGTGTGTGTGTGTGTGTGTGTGTGTGTGTGTGTGTGGTGGTACTGAGGATAAGGCCTAGAACCTCCCATGTGCCAGAGGAGTGTCCCAGAGCACTTCTCCTCACACAGCTTGGACATGCTTTCCTCTTGATATGGGCTGTTGGCTGACAACCCATGCATCCCTTTATTATTCTTGGCATGCTGGAACCATCCCACTAACTTTCTTCTATATTTCTCTTGGAAACAACTTCATAAAAGTCCCTTTATTATCCATTTAACCATGCCAATATAAATCCATCCATCCCTCTCATTTAATTTTAGCATTGCTCTTTTTTTCCCTTTACATTTCCAGCACGCTCTAGAATTTTGCATCCAATTTCTCTATGTTTTTTCTTCAACAAAAACTTTACGAATGTATTATCATTGTGCTTGTGTGCACGCACGTGCCATGGTAGGCATGTGGAATTCAGATGACACCTTTGCGGGGCCACTTTTCCCCTTCCACCTTTATGTGGCATTGTATGACACACAATTCCTGGGAAGAATGACAGGCTAAAGTAAAAATATTATCTGAGTTCAGCATGGTGAACCAATAAGTTTATTGGGATTACTTACAGAGGCACAGCTAAAAGGTTACTAAAGAGCAGAATTGACTTGAAGATAGCCACATTACCAAAAGATCACCCCAGCAAAGGTGACAGCCACAAGATCTGGAAGCCTGTGTCATACTGCACAACCTACAGGCAGCTTACAGGTTGGAATGCCTCTTCCAGGCAGTTCAGCTCGTCTGACAGTGCTGCTCAACAGTCCTCATGCCTATGTATGTGTAGAGAGAGAAAAGCCTAGTGAATTTTGTCAGTTTCAGGGACTTCCTGAAGCTGTTAAACTGTTTACTTCCTGAGCTTTCAGGAGCTTTCGTTGGGATGTTATGTGCGTCCTCCCTTTATAACATCCTGGGTCTTAAGGAGTCTTCCTTAGAGCTTCCCTCAAGATGGAGTGTTTTATCTTCGAGGAAATGGATATAAGACACATGGATTCTAGGGACTGACTTCAGGTCATCAAGATTGCATAATAAATGGTAAATGCCTTTACCCACCAAGTCATTATCCTCCCTACAATCTGTCCTTTTTCTTCAAAAAATTCTTTCATTACATATATTTGGTTGTGTGTGTGAGTGTGTGTATGTGCGTATGAGTGTATGTATGTGTGTATGAGTGTGTGTGCATGTGTGTGTATGTGTGTATGAGTGAGTGTATGAGTGAGTGTGTGTATATATGAGTGTGTGTGTATGAGTGAGTGTGTGTATGGGTGTGTGTATGAGTAAGTGTGTGTATTGAGTGTGTGTATGAGTGTGTATATGTATGAGTGTGTGAGTGTGTGTGCATGTGTGTGTATGTGTGTATGAGTGAGTGTGTGTATGTGTGTATGTATGAGTGTGTTCATGTATGAGTGTGTGTGTGAGTGTATGAGTAAGTGTGTGTATTGAGTGTGTGTATGTATGAGTGTGTTCATGTATGAGTGTGTGTGTATGTATGTGTGTATGTGTGTATGTATGAGTGTGTGTGAGAGAGAGACAGCGCGCATACAGAGGTCAGGGGACGACTTGCAGAAGTCAGTTCTCTTCTTCTACCACCACGTGGGTCCTGGGAATTGAACTCAGTCACTAGGGCATCTTTACTAACCCTGCCCGTTTCCTTCTTTATTATTTATTTATTTATTGAGACAGGGTCTTACCATGTAGACCTTGCCTAGAACTCAAAGAATTCTAGCTGCTTCTGCCTCCTGAGTGCTGGTATTAAATGTGTGCACCGTTACACCTGGCTTCATTTATGTCTTTATGCAACCATAAAGAGACTAGAAGCCTCTCTGGGGTTCTTTACATTTCATAATTCCTTTCTCTTTTGTTCTTTTTAATTTTTGAGACAGGGTTTCATGTAGCCCAATCTGGCCTTTACCTCCAACTCCTGATCTTCCTGTCTCTACTTCCTAAGTACTAGCTATTACAGGCATGGGCACCACACCCAGCTTAAGTCCCACCGTTTCTGTCCAGTTTCTCCATCTGGATTGCCCTGTTTATTGCTTCCAGTTGAGGGTTGCTATTCTCTTCAGGGCCCGCCCCCAGCTCTTCATCACTGCCTAACCTGTGAGAGAGACGCTGTCTGCCCTGGAGGGTCAGAGGCCTGGTCTCTTTTCGGTTCTCCTTTTTGTTTCAGCCTCTTCTTGTGTGACAGGAATGCACCCCTGGTGTCAAACACCCCCTCCATCTCCGCAACCCCCAACCTCCCATCTTTGTGAGGTGGCTTTTGGCTACTGTCTTCAAAAACAAGAGTGTTGCATCACTCCTATTCTGTCATAACCACTGTCCTCTTCTGTACACAAACAGTGTCAGTCCCCTGCCTCAGCTTCCATTTTGGCAGGTAACTATGGGCTTGTGTGCCAACAAACACCTTCAGGCCCGGCCGTGCTCTTGCCATCTGGGTTAACTGGTTGATCGGGAAGCTTTTCTTCCTTCTTCTGTTTGTTATTTCCCCCATCTGGAAATCTTCCTCTTCCTCCTCAACCCACCCCTTCTTGAACTTTTGGGAAAATGAGACATGTTTTTTATCCATGCTTTTGTTTTCCAGGCTCCTTTTGGGGACCTGTAGGTTTTTCTCTTCTTTTCCTTCGTTTCTCTCCTTCCTTCTTTCTTTTTTTAATTAGAATTTATTTCTTTTGTGTGTATGTGTACACTCATGTGGATGCATGTGCCGTGGTGTGGGAGTGGAGGTCAGAGGACAGCTTGTGTGATTTGGTTCTCACCGTGTGGTTCTGAGGACCAAACTCAGTTCATCAGGCTCAGTGGCAACCATGCCTACTCACTGAACCATTTCCCCCAGCCATTCATCACCCTCATCACCGTCATCACCATCAACAACATCTTTAGTAACAGCGAGACAGTTTCTTTTTTTTGGTTTTACGAGACAGGGTTTCTCTGTTTTGGAGGCTGTCGGTCCAGCCTGGCCTCGAACTCACAGCGAGACAGTTTCTTACTTTTTCTTTTAAAAAGCATAATATTTTATTAATTATTAATTCTTTGAGAATTTTTTACAATATATTTGAACCTATTCATTCCTCCCCATTCCCCTCCCAGATCCATCCTCTACCTCCCTACTCACTTCCGGACTTCATGTACTTTTAAAAAATAACACCCTGAGCCGGGGGTTGGTGGCGCATGCCTTTAATCCCAGCACTCAGGAGGCAGAGGCAGGTGGATCTCTGTGAGTTCGAGGCCAGCCTGGTCTACAGAGTGAGTTCCAGGATGGCCTCCAAAGCTACAGAGAAACCCTGTCTCAAAAAACAAACAAACAAACAAACAAACAAAAAACCACCCTGAGTCCAATTCATGCTGCCCATATTCTCATGAGTGTGGTGCCATCCACTGTGGACCTACTCAGAGCCACAGTATCATAAAAAGTGATCACCTCAATAAAAATGCTCAATATACTCACCATCCCATGTAGTAATTGCGTTTGTTACTTTTCTGTTGCTGTGTGTGATAAACTCTCTGACCGAAAGCAACTTAGCGAAGTGTCCAAAGGACGTCCATAATGGCCAGGGAGGCATGGCAAGATGGCAGGAGCAGAAAGTTGGCTGACCCCATCTTTATCTACACACAGGAAGCAGAGAGAACGAACAGGAAGTGAGACAGGCTATACACCCTCAAAACCCATCCCCAGTGACACACTTCCTACATCAAGGCTGCACCTCTTGAAGGTCCCATAACATCCCCAAATAGTATTCAAATACATGATCCTGTAGGGGACATTTAATCATTCAGATCACTGCAGTACGATTTGCTTTCTTTTCTTTTTATTGTGCAGAGAATGCTAACTTTTAAAGAAAACTTCAAGTATATAATACTATATTAACTTGCCAACACACTGTAATACAGATCTCCTGAACTAATTCATTTTGCATAATTAAACTTAGTACCTTTGGACATCTTATCTCCTCTCAGAGCCTGACAACCACTTACCTGCTCTGTTCTCGATCCCACACTGAAGAGAGATCACGCAGTAGTTGTCTTCCTGGCTTATTTCTCTTGCAGTGTCCTCCAGGTCCACCCAAGCTGTTCCAAACGGCAGAGTTTCCCTCCTTAGAAGGCTGGCTACCGCCCCAGCATGTGGGCGTGCGGATCTACTTCTCTCTCTAGCAGATGATGATGGACGTTTAGACTTGCCTCTGATCCTGTGAGTCCCACCCTTTGCAGGTCTTTGTACAGAATACACAAAGTGTAGACAAATAAATACCCCAGACTTTTCCGCCAGCAGGTCAGTTTCATTACTTCCCAGGAAACTCCACAGCAGTCAACCATGATCTTTTTCTACCTAGATGGTTAGTAGAGTACCACACTAAGTCACATTAACTGAATCCTAACATCTTTAGGAACAAGGTCTCTTAAATCTGGCCTGCCTGGGGGAGTCACTGGAAAGTTCCTATGCTACCCTGATCCCCGTTTCCGATAAGACAGATTTCTTTGATAGTCTGAACTAACTTCTCATTTCTAGGTCTACACCTTTGTACTTTGTCCATCCATAGCAAACTGAAACAAGGGTGTGTCCCCCCCTCAAACTGTAGAGAACCTCACACAGTTCCACGTGGGATTACTCCCAGTGCTGGGACAGCTTTGGAGAAGCTTTGACTATATACGGCTCCCTACAGTGTCTGGATAAAGGCTGGAACTTTAATGTGATCAGTTGAGGGACTTCACGTTGTCCAAGGCCTATGAGACTGGTAATTGTTGTCTGTATTCCTCTGGTCACTATTGGTGCTGCGTTTCAAAACCCAAAGGGTCCTATGCAAGGCTGTGTCAGCAGACGTTGGCTGTGGCTCCCAAGAGCAACTTTGGCCAGTTCTGAGGCATTGGCTTCAAGACAATGGGTGCTGTAGAAGCATCTCCTAAGATTCTTATCCAACTGTTTGGGGGCGGGACTGGTCATGCTTCTAGAATCACATAGACAGGGATTCCCAGTCTAGTTCCCCTGCTTTCTAGGAGGATCTATGAAGCTTTTGAGTCTATCATGTCAGCACGAACATAGCAACGCCTATTTCAATGGCTGACTCTCAGAAATTATGGGGCATTTTGTAAGGTATGATTATGACAAAGTGTTTTGTGAATGATAGTCATTTATTTCATTTTCTCTTTCTTCCTGTTGTCTTTACCTCACTTTGTGTATGTGTGAGGGCAGGGCATGGATGGACTCAGGGCATACAATAGACAAGGCAGAGTGTAGAAATAATGAAAAGAAAGACTCAGGGCAGGTGACCCCCCTCCGCCAAGACGTAACGTAAGACACAGAGAGATGGAAATATAGATAGATAGATAGATAGATAGATAGATAGTATATATAAAGAGGGAAAGAAATCCATATGGTGGGGGAGGGTTCTCGTTCCCATTTTGTGGGAGGATAGGTGTCAGGACAGGTTTTACTGTAGGAGTTGGGGAGGGAATGCTGTTTAGGGTTCCTTGACTGGTGTGCTCTCTTTTGGAAGGGCCAGGACAGTATTAAGATAATGCTGTGTGCTATGCTCCAAAGGTCCGGGACCTGGACTTAGGGACAGAGTGAGAGGACATGCAGAGGGGACCCTGCTCTACTTACTGACTTTGCTTAGGAGGAGGCCCTGTCTCCTGCCCTGTGTTGAACATACTCAATTAGTCACCCAGCTGAGAACAGGAGCCTGCCTGGAAGGCACCTGAAGGTTGAGCTTGTGAGCCACAGGTATGCGAGTGTCAACGGTAAACCTGCATGGGATCCAGAGGAGAGCTGAGGTTCTAGCTGCAGCCTCACTCTGGGCTCGTGTGCGGTAATGGCACATCCGGGAACGAACTTTGTGTGACCGGGTTATCTCCTACCATCTCATTCAGGACATATTTCCCAACCTCTCTGAGTTCTAGGCTCGTTAACACTCCTAAAAATCTATCAGCCACACTTCTACCATCTGCTCTTTGCAATCATTTAAGTTCTATGCACATCCACATGATTTTGTGAATTTCTTATTACTTTGAAGCCCACGTATTTTTGTGGTTACAGATGAGGAACATAGCTTCTAATAGTGTTGAATCTGTGATCCAGGAAGTACTAGGATCCATGGTTTCTGTCTCCCCCAGAAGGGAGTCGGGCAGTTCCAGGGGGGTGGGTGGGATTGTCTCAACCAGGTGAACATGTTCTAAAAAGGAAGGGACACCAGAGCTGGCAGCAAGGCTTCTGCGTGTCAGCCGTTGGGGAGGAGAGTCAGGCTCAGAATGGAGTCTTTCATGAATTACTGCTTGGCTCTATTCCCAGAATGCCCGCCCGCTAAGGTGAAATTGCCCAAGGGAAGAGGCCCTGGTTGATCCACAAATCCCCTAGCTACTCTCTCAACAAATGGGCAGGGCTAGACAACAGGGACGTCTAAGGAACCACGGGCAGGAGGTTTTCTTCTCCTTAGCACAGCGGCAGGTCACGCCATTAGGAAGGACTGGCAGGGAACCAGGGAAGGGCCGTGGAAGCCAGAGAAAGGCAGCAAGATCCCATTTTTACCCACCTTGTTACTAAATCCGGAAATGGTCTGAATGCAGCCCGATCCAGACGAATACATGCTTCTGGAGACCATCCACTTGAGCATGACACTGATCAAGGGGCGAGTTTTTCATGCAAAGAAGGGATTCTGACTTCCAAAGAGAGCCAGGGCCTGATTGGCCAGTGTCAGGTCCTCTAAACAAATGAGGGATTCAAGCTCGCGCACGCACGCTGATTATCTGCTCCTCCTAACCCAGTGGATAGCTGAGCCAAGAGGGAGGCAGCTCATTGGTCAGCTCTGAAAACTAGGACAGGGCAGGCCCTCATTGGCTTCTGTGTGAGTAGAGGGATGTTTGTCGCTAATGCATGTTTAGCTCTAGGATTGTGTGTGAGCCCCGGGTTCCTATTCACGCCCTTATTTTGCTTTACAAAGCAGACACGATCCCTGTGGGATTCCTTCCCCACGTCTGGTAGTTGTAGGGAAAAGGGACCAGTCAAAGAAACACACCCTGAGCAGAGCCAAAGAAACACACTTTGGCCCTGCAACCAGAACTAAAGAAATGTACCCTGACCCTGAAACCAGTGCCAAAGGAACACACTTCTGTTCAGGCCTGGCTAGGGGTGGCTGCTGCCTGAGATCTTCTAGTGAGGCTTTCTCCGGAAAGATGGACAGAAACAGGGAGTCCTCCGGAAGTAGGGGACTGGGCAGTTAAAACTTCACAGTTTGCTTATTTGTCTCGATCACTCACAAGTGTGAGGGCTTTGCAGTTTTTTATGTGTACATATGGGTTCACGTACATACGTGTGCGCACGTGTGTGGAAGCCAGCGGTTGGTAAATGTCTTTCTCAATTCCTTTTCCCACTCACCCCATAAATGAGTAGACCTTATGTATTGTGTCCACAGAAAACATGTAGCTGTATAAAACGGACAGGGAAAGCAGCCACATAGAAACAGCTACAAGGAACAAAGTAGAGCATAGGCAATGGTGAGTGGTCACAGAGCACTTGAGGAGGTGGGGGTCAGTCCCACTGGAAGGGGAACAGCCAAACCGGAGTACTGACTTACGCTTCCTGGTGCCCCACTGGCAGATTTCCCCTCTCTTCAGAGCACAAGGAGCTCCCACTGCTGACCCATCCCCGCATTTCAAAATTGGGAGTCATTTTGAGACAACTAACCTCTTTCATCTAACCTGGAACAATGCAGCTTTTTGGAGAGTTAGCTCTACCTAACCTTTTAGGGGCTCCTCTCTTTTAAAAAAATTATTTTTATTTTCTGTGTGCGGATAGTTTGCCTGCATGTGTGTCTGTGCACCATGTGTACACAGTACTTGAGGAGGCCAGAAGAGGGCGCTGGAGTCCCTGGAACTGGAGTTAGAGACGGTTGTCAGTTGCCATGAGGGTGCTGGGAATTGAACCTGAGTCTTCTGAAAAAGCAGCCAATGCTGTTAACTGCTGAGCCATCTCTCCAGACCCAAAGGGTTCCTCTCTTAAAAAAATACTTTCTCTTTTTCTTTTTCATGTGTATGTGGTGTGTGCGCATATGTATGTTCAGGTATGTGCAGATGTGTATGCATGTGTGTGTGTGTGGAGATCACAGGTGATGTGGAGATTCTGCCTGAATTGTTCTTTCACCTTCTGCTTTGAGGCAGGGTGTCTTAGTCAAACTCAGAGCTTGCTGATACAGGATCCCCCATCTCTCCCTCTGAGCCGGGATAACAGGCCAGCCAAGGTGCACTCCCTCCAGCTTTTGTGTGGGTCTTGGGATCCAAACTCTGGTCCTTCTGCTTGCTGGTCAAATGCTTTACCTGCTGAGGCATCTCTCCAGACCCCTCCTTTCTGGTCTATAAAGACAGAGTCTTCCTAAGTTGCTGAGGCTGGCCTTTGTCTTGCACTCCTCTTGCTTCTGCCTCCTGGGTGCTGGAATTATGCTATGGTGTCCAGATAAATAAGTGTTGAAGATGTTAGCGGCTAAGTCTTAAGATTCAGAGAACCCAGAACATTGCTGGGTTTGTTATTGGTCTTCAGTGAACTAGCTGTAGGAAGAGGAAGAAGTCCACGGATGAAGGACAAAGGAAAGAGAGATTCAGCCTCAGTGACAAAGTCCTTGCCATCTGTCTGTTGCCTCCTTGTGTATCTCCATTCCCTCCCTGTAAAATCTCTTTTGTAACCCTGAATGGCAAGAGAGGACTTTGTGATGTAAGCCCTATTTTTCTCCTTGAGCAGTCTTTCCCAGTAGTCACCTTCCTTGCTGGAACACCGTGACTCTCAGTTTAATTGGCCTTTCTTTTGTAAGTATGAGGGTTGGTCCAGGAGCCCCAGTGATTCTCTGGGATAGATGGTGACCAGGTTCCTTTTGTCCCAGCTCCTGGTTACTATCTGGCTCCTATCACCCTGGTGTGACTGGAGGAAACTGGTCTGGGGCAGGTCAGCCACATTCTGCTTGGAGCTCCCTGCCAAGGCTCTCCCTCCCCCTTCCTTGACTTTGGTTGCCAACCATATACAACCTAGATGTCACGCTGCCCCTGATTTCCCAACTTTGGACATCTGGTCTTGGCAAATCCTGTGTATTCGACTCTGGCTGAACTATTTTGACCTTTCTATGATGGAACCCTGGGCGCACTGGGTTTGGGTTTTGTTTTTTCCTTTCCTCTAGAATTTTTCTTCCCATTGCCTCCACCTTCTCATTAGAACACATCACAACACAGCAAAACAAGTATTTTAAGCACCAACCAGACAGCAACAGAAATCAAACCAAACCTCCTTTTCAAAGAGGGAACCCCAAACAACATCCTCACCCACACCTCCGAGGAAGCTAACCTGCTGCTTTCCAGAAAGTGATGGAAACATGCTATTCAGAAAACATTCAGCACATGAGTCATCTGCCCACCCACTCGTTCATCTGTATGAAAATAGACCCGTCATCTGCTTCCACGCCCAGTTTCCTGCCCAGAAGCCATTATCTTCTGGTGGCACCAGAGATAATTACTCCAAGGGACTGTTGCTGGCTGGCAGGAGGCAGTGCCAACTGGATGGTGTACCAGGCCTGTCAGTGCCTAGCTATTCCAAGAAAGGGAGGGTAAAGAGCTGGACTGAGCTATGGGAATAGGGGTCATTGATTGAGGTTGACCTCAGAGATCCCAGAGTTCTAGGTTCTAGGTCTAGACAAGGCAATTGTCCTGCCAGAGGTCATCCCATGGGCAGATTTAGAGATGGCACGGATTTGGAGTAACACTCAAAAGGCTGTTGTCTTTGACGTCAAGATACATTGAGACTGAGAGATTTACATAGGGACAATTGACATAGTGTCTACAGAGGAAAGAGCACAATAGCAGAACCTTAGTGTGTGGACTCTAAACCGGCAAGGAGTCAGCAGCCACTGCCTTGCCTTAGAGTAGAGTTTTCACACCCTTGGAAGGTCTTGGATTAGACAAACAGAAACTGGCACCCTGTGACTCATGGGCTAAATCTAGCCCATTGCCTGTTTTTATACCAGCGTTCATGTTTTAAAACGACCAAAACAAGAATAGCATTTCTATGGCCTGGAAAAGTGATGTGAAATTCAAAATTCGATAACCACAAATAAAACTTTATTAGAGAATGACCATATAAATTGTCCTAGTTAACCTCAACTGTCAACTTGATACAGCCTAGAGTCACCTAAGAGGACTTGCTGAGACCAGATTGGCATGTGGGAGTTTCTGTAGGGAAATGTCTTGCTTTAGTTGATGCAGGAGGGCACAGACCACCACGGGCAGCACCGTATCCAGGAGGGCACAGACCACTACGGGCAGCACCGTATCCTTGGCCAGCGGTCCTAGGCTTTGTAAGAAAGCTAGCTGCAAGAGAGCCAGCGAACAGCGGTTCCCATGGTTTCTGCTTCATGTTCCCTCAATGATGGACTGAAATGAGTCTTCCCTCCCCTAAGCTGTTTTTGGTGAGACTGTTGAAGCAGAGAGCAAATTACGATGCATGTTTTTTCCCAGCTCTCTTCGGGGCTTTTGTGGATGATTGGGATATTGGTGTGTGTGGCTAGGTGATAGATGCCCAGGCAAAGTCTTTGCAGCCATCCCACTATAGCCCAGGGTCCACATTTCCCTGTGGGTCTCCTCCTACTCCTCTTGCAGCATCTTTTCTCCTTGTGACTTCTCTATCTGTTTCCCAGAGCATCTTCCTACCCATTGCTGTCCTAAGTGGGTCTGCAAGACGTGGTAGTCAGACACCCAAGGAGGAAGGTGTGACTTAACCTAGGGTTTGAATGAAAGCGGAGGGGAGGCAGGCTGGGGGGAGGGAGTTCTAGACAATGAACGGAATCCATTGTTCACATGGTGATTATAGCCCATCAGCCTAGTGTGATCTTGACTTCAGTGGCTGTCTGGGATAGCCATGGTGTTGGAAAAGCACCTGGGATTGGAAATCAAGACACCTGGGTTGCTCTCCAGTTCTCTTACTTGTTTTCTCCGAAGATGTTTAGTGAAATGGCTCCATGCTCCAGGAATTCATCTGTTAAAAACAGACCCCAGAGCTCCATGGAGAGATAGTAAAATACATAATTCACTTCCAGGAGAGTTAAGAACGCTTCTGAGAGGCGGCTTGTCTTCCTCGTCCTGAGCAGAGCAGTGCCTTTTTAGTTTCTTCCCGGGCTGTGGCCAGGGCTCAGGTTACCGCTCAGTGATCCCACCTCACAGAGACCCCAAAGATGCTCAATGAAGTCCCAGGATGAGATATTTACGACCTCTCTCCCCAGTGGCTAAAACCCCTTAAGGGCTCTAAGTTGCCCTTCAAAGCATGAGATCTGAGTATGGAGCCCCAGAACCCAGGGAGGCAGAGACATGGGGTCTTTGGGGCTTACTGAACAGCCAGTCTAGCCAACAGGTGAGCTCTGAGTTCAAGGGGAGATCCCATCTAAACAATGAGTGGATAGCAATAGAGGGAGACATCTGATTTTGACCTCTAGCCTCCACATGAGCAAATGTGTGCATGTACACCACACATAAATGCCCATATCAACATGAACACATATGTATATCATATAAAGACACTATACACATATACACTCAGAGAGACAGACACACAGATACACACACACAGACAGACACAGAAACACACACATATACACACACACATATACATACAGAGATCAAGAGAGAGGGGAGAGAGTGAGGGAGAGAGG